AGGGGTTATGAGCAGGAACATGGGTGACCCTAAAATAGAGGTGCTTGGAGGGAGGTCTGAACCCAAAATGAACAACGGCTGCGCAGATGAAGCCTCTCTCAGTTAATCTCCCTCAGCCTATACACTAGCTCTATCGGGAGGCTATAGCATTTTGGGCAGAATTGCACTCAAATGTCTGGGAGACTAGACATTCAGGGACCCTTCCATCTTCCTGTGAGGGAATGTCATCTGACAATAAACCTGGCTAGGACCGTCTGCACGCAGGCAGAGCTGGTCTTATGAAGATGGTGGTTGCTCTGCTTAGAGGGTAGTACTGTGCAACACAAGTACTTTGCACACTCATGGAAAGGTTTGTAGCAACTTTTGGAGAACTATGACAGGCACATTGCTGAGTAAAGACTCGACTATTGTTCTGCCTTGAAGGTTGTATTATACAGGGGGAGTGAATGGGCCACAGATTGTTTAAGAAACAACTCTAGGCAGGGTGTCATTTTGAGGGCTACTATCAGGGTCTCACCATGTCCTGCCCCCCGCACCCCCCTAAGCAACTACAAAAGATACAAGGCTGAGAAAAATACCTTGATTCATACAACTGGGGTGTCACGAGCAGCATGCTCTCACGATCAGCTTATTGGCTTGAGCCTGTTTTACTTCCACTGTATCCAGGGTGCTCAGGAGGCTCGTCTTCCCTGAGAAGTTTGTGCTTAGTCACATGATGTCACCAAAGAGACTCTAAAAGCAATGGCTTGATAGAAGAGACACATCAGAGCAGATGCCCCATGAGCTTGAGATTTGAATGTACTTGGGTCCCTTTCTCAAATTTAGTTCTTAGGTTGTTATCAACCCCAAATACAGCACTCATCTCAAAAGGAATAAGATATAATTTATTCTGGAGCAAAAAGGGAGTAATTATGTCCTAGGACCATGCATTTAGGTTGCCCTAAAGGACACATTTCAGCATAAAAGTGGTTACAAGAGGTTTTGGTAAAGAACAAAGAAGGTCTCTGGGTGGTGGTGGCACACGCCTTTAATCTTAGCACTCAGGAGGCAGAGGCAGCCTGTGAGTTTGAGGCTAGCCCAGTGTATAGCGCAATTGATCTTTGCTACTTTGTGGTGTTTTTTTTTCACCACCCTCTATCCACACCCTCGTTTCACCTCCATCACTAGATAGAGGAGAAAGAAGGATAGAGGGACAAGAGAAAGATAGGGATCCCTGAATCTAATTTCTTCTTGTTTTTTTTTTCTTTGCTTGTAGCTGGTCTTTGCTACTTTGTGGGTTCTTCTCTTCTTTCCCACCCTTTATTCCCCAGTTTCACACTTGTCACTAGATAGGCGAGAAAGAAGGGTAGAGGGGACAAAGGGAGGGAGGGAGGGAGGGAGGGAGGGAGGGAGGGAGGGAAGGAGGGAGAGAGAGAAAAGGAGGGAGGAAGAGAGAGAGAGGTGGGATCTAATTTCTTTTTGTTCCTTCTTTGAGCATGACTACTAACAAACCATGAACAACACTCCCTCCATCTCCTGGGGCACTAGCATTTATACACCCTCTGAAAAGTTCCCAGAATTCCAAATGTCACACAATTGTAGAAACTATCTGCAGCTGGCAAAACAACAAACAAACAAAAAACAAAAAACAAAAACAAAAAAACCACACACACACACACCCCTCTGCTAGAGCACGAGGCAAATCATAGTCAGCTGCTGGAAGGTAGCCCCATATCCCCACACCTGGGATTAAAACAAAAACACATTCTTATAGTATTTCTATTTTTTAAAAACCAAAATTCCAAAATTGTTACTAGATTGCAAAGTGAGTTATAGGACAGCCAGAGCTACACAGATAAACCCTGTTTTGGGGGACAAAGACACAAATTAAGGCATTAATCAAAAACATTAGTAGGGTACAAGTAGGTGAGTTATATCAAAGAAGGGAAAACTCTTCTATGTATTTAGATATTCTCTGATGATATTCTTAACTTTTGGATGGATAAGAGCTAAAAAATATATAGGATTGCTAAAAATATATTTTAAAGGTTTGACCTTATGGTTGAGGGATGTTAGGTTAGACACAGGGGCAATGAGTGGCTGTTAAGAGGACTATACAAACAGCCTAAGATAATTTGGCTCTGAATCTGCAGTTCTAGCTCTCTACAATTACAAAGTTGTAGTCAAGTTTTTTCAGCCATGCAGCATCTTCCACACAGGTGTGGCCTTTTCTCTCGCCATGTCTCCCAGTTCCTGAAACTTCAGAGTCCTACAACTCAGAACTTTGACTCTAGATCATGCTAATAACCAAATACATGCTTGAAAGTTTCAATATCATGCAGTTAGCACAAACAGGCCGTTGGGAAAGGAAAGCACACATTCATTCTCTTGCTTGGTACATTTTAAGCTCTTACTCTGGATCATGAATATCCTTTGCTGTGTCAGGTCATAGACACACAGAATTGAAGCAGATCCAGTCCCTGCTCTAGGGAGACAGATACATTAACTAGCAACTTTGACAGCAGCAGGCTGAGTCCTAGGGGAGGTGAAGAAAAACCCAAGGTACTACAGGAGGCCATACAAATACTTCTCAGTTTATACTGCTTTGGTTTCTTTTCTATTAGAGTTCTCTCCTTCACTGGAAATTCTACCTGATGCCTGTCAGTTCTCTTTGGCCATTAGAACCCTTTTGAAAGGTGCAGCAAGTTCGCTTTCCATTGAGACTTGGGAACAGAGTATAGTATCATGCTTTGGCTCAAGGATTAGAAATTTTGGGGGTGGAATGTCAGAAGCACTGCCCATCTTATGATGGGCACTGGACTCTGAGCTTTGAGCACCAGGGTGGCATGGGTGGTTGATGCTGACTCATGGCTCTGAACATGTGTCAAGCACCTCCTACTCCCAAAAGTTTTTAGCTATGAAGGTGACGCCTTGTTATATAAAGAGCAGCTCAAGTCAATGAATATGCACACTGACAGCACATCTGACTATAATTTGAGATGGTGATATCAGAGGGTCTAAACAAAGCAGTTAAGTAGCTCGGTAAAATGTTTATACAACTGATGCAAATGTTTGTTGACTCAGACTCGAAAGACCCCAGATGCTGAAAACCAGTGGCCCCAGACCTATGAGCAAGATGGAAAGGAAAAATTCCTTTTTCTGTTTTTCCCCCCACTTACTGAATCCTTTTATATTCAGGACATAGTTAGCAATGTTTCTTCATATGAAAACTACTGTATTTATGTTAGGACAGAAAGAGAAGACCCGCTAAAAGTAATACGAAAATTTGTTGAGAACAGGAAATAGCTATCTTTTATGATGGAATCCTCCCACACTGAGTACTCAGTAAAGGTGTAAAGGCCAGCTTTTCTTCTTTCCCTTCCTCCCGTTCTCCTTTCCTGCCTCTCTCTGTTTATGTCTCATCCTTCTGTCTCTTTCTCAAATAAAAATCTTCTTTGGAGTATTTTATAGGAAGCAGGCTTGGATCCTAATAGTTTTTACTTAGGGCAGAAGAACTGCCCAAGGCTTGGTCTTTTCCCACAAGCACCCTGTAGTAAGAACTCTGATTTCCATTATCCCTTGCCAGAGAGAACATTGCAGTGGGGAGCTTTGCTGATCTGACACCAGGTACTAAAAGTGAAGAGTGGCTGTTTAACACTCTGATATAGGTACTCGAAGGTATTTAGATTGCTCAGTATTGAGGTTCCTACTCTGTATGAGGCACGAATGGTTAGTAGCCGCAGCACATTATGGTTCTCTAAGGAACTTTACATATGTGTGTATAAGAAAAGTCCTCAAGAAACTGAGCCATCATTACAGAGTCTGTAACATTTCAGCTGTCGCTATAACTCAGGTGTCATCCACTGAATCTAGGACATGAGAAAGGCAAGGCTTGCCTTTACGAATAGTATTCTTTCCAGAAGGAGTAAGAGGTGGAGTTCAGAGGTAAATTAGCAGGGATGGGAGGAAACAGGCCATTGCTACGTGTCCCTCAGAGAGCGAGTGGAAGGGCTTCCACACTTAGGAAGACAGGTGTGAAGCTCGGTATGTATACCTTTTAGTATCCTTTCCCTGAAGTCAATCTTCATGTTTGTATTTGGACGTGTTGAATTATATGTGACAATCACACAGTTTACCACTGATCTACACCCACAGCCTTTCAATAAAGACTATTAAAAGGCTCCTGACAGGGTCCCCTGTTCAGATCAGTTAGCATACACAGAAGAACTACAGAATAAGGGTCCACAGTGTGAACCTGCTTCCCCTACTTGAAAGCTGTATGAAGCCAGGTACTTAATTTCTCTGCACCCTTGATTCCCTGCAAAACAAGACTAGTAACATCTCTATAGGGGTGTTCTAAGGATAAAATTAGTTGATAGGAGCCAAGCACCTAGACCAGAGACTGTCACTGGTAACAACTACTTAAAATCCTGTCATATACACGAGAGAACACTTTAAAAAGTGTTTAAGAGGGTATATTATTCTTCCAAAGGACCTGAGTTTTATTCCCAGCATCCAAGTTAGGCTGCTCACAACCGCCTGTAACTCTATCTGTGGGGATTAGACACTTCTGGCTTCTATGGCCACCCACACAGATTACATACACACTATTAAAAATAAGAATTTATTAAATCAGTTAAACTAAGTCTGTGCATCAGTGTTTTTAAGAAATACTTGCCAAGCATAAAGCACAGCTTGTGTTTTCCATCTCTGAAAGAGTCTCTTTTGAGATCTTGTCTCCGGAAAAGTTGACATCAATCAAAGCGTCAGTCCCCCACCCCCAACCCCATTTTCTTGGACCCCCTCAAAACTTGTTACCAGTTCCCTAAGGGATTCACTGGGCCCAAGGGCGGAGGCATTTGCGTTCAGTCTCTTGGGAGTTGCAGTTTCCCTGGGTTCTAGCACAGGCTTCACCGCAGTCTTGAAACTACAAAACCCACAAACCCTCGCTGCACCTCCCGCCTCCGCCTAGCGTTCCTCGCCAGCTCGCAGCCCCGCCCCTCGGTCCAGGCAGAGGCGCTATGGCCGACCACGGCGGCCCTGCCGAGACGCCCAGCTCGCGGGGCTCTCCTCGGCCGGAGCCCCGGGCCCCACGCACGGCCGGGCCGAGCGAGACCCCGCGTACCGCGGCGCTGGCGTTGCGCTTCGATAAGCCCATCAAACAGGCTTTCTACAACACGGGCGCCGTGCTGTTCGTGTGCCTGTGCTGTGGCGCCGCGGTTCTTGTGTACTTCATCCTCGAGGCCTTCCTGCGGCCGCTGCTCTGGGCCGTGCTGTGCGGCACTTTCCTGCACCCGTTCAAGAGCTCGCTCACGCGCCTGGGCCGCCTGTGGCTGCGGCGCCTGCACCGCGCGCACACGCCCATCGTGCTGGCCGCGCTGCTGCTGCCGCTCTGCTTCGCGGACTACGGCGTGGAGGCGCTGGGCGAGCAGGCGCTGCGCCGCCGCCGCCTGTTGCTGCTGCTGGGCGCGGGCGGCCCGCTGCTCTACGGTCTCTACTGCCTGGGCAGCTACCTGGGCGTACAGGTGCTGCTGGCGCACGCGGGCGCGCTCATCTGCCGCGGCCTCGACTACTTCAGCAGCCTGTGGGTGAGTGAGTGGGTGCCTGCAGGGTTGGCGGGACCCCGGACGCCGCGACCAGGCGGCCAAAGATCCTCACCCGTGCTCCAGTGAGCGCGGGTGACGGCCCGCCTTCCGACGTCCAAGGAACTTGGCGCGCTTCCTTCAAGAGAGGCGGGTGTGATTTGAAAACCGCCCTCTTGTAGGGAAAAGGTCCTTTGGCTGAGTTCAGTTCTTTCACCTTAGTTCGTGCGTGACTCTGGGTGCTTTTCGATAACTGTATTTATTATGTGTGGGCCATTGCGCGTCCGACCCCATCTACATTGGCAGTGGACTGCGTTAAAGAGAGGTTATGGTTGAATCGCCCAGGTGTCGTTCTTAGGGAATCGAGGAACTTCAGAATTAGAAGGAATTTCAGAGATAATCTTAGAGACATATTTTCCGACTCAGACTACATCGCAGTCTGGTTAGTTCACATATTTATTAGGCAAAGTTAAAATGAAGTGGTTATTTAATGCTTAAGAATCTTAAGAATGTTGGTTGATAAAGTGCCATGGGAGCTAAGAATGCCGCGCAGGAATAGAGATCTCCTAGAGAGCGTGAGACCCAGCGTGTATACACCTCATACTATTTCACTTTTCTTCACTCTGTTATTGAAAAAGTGAATATACCCTGAGATTATTAAAGTTACAAAATATTTGCCTTTATTTGTTAAAGCAGGTTTCAACCTGCCAAAGGGTGTTGGTGGATTGCTAATTGGCCCCAGGATCATGCGTTCACCTCTTGGCTCAAGTTTAAAGTTGATTGAACACATTGTCAGGCGCTTTGTTTTCAGGGTGACTATAGTTGTTTAGGAGTCCTTTGTGATGGGGTGGGGGACGCTGGGGGCTTCATGTGTGCTACTGAGTTGTACCTTCAGCCTTAAATTAGTACATCCTAATGGAGCAGACATACACAGAGGTAAGTGTACATTTATCACAGTTGTGGACCACAGGTTCAATCAGTGTGACTGCCTTCAAGATGACTAGCTTACTGTCAAATCTGTGATTTTAAAAAAATCACTTTTTAAAAGTTGTGCTGGAAACCAAACCCAAGTGTTAGTGGGCTCTAGGTAAGACAAATTCTGAGCTATAGCTCTAGCCCCATTGTTTACTTTTAAGTTAAATTTGGGGTCTCAGAGGTTGCCCACTTGCTGCTCTTCCATATGGCCTGAATTCTGTCCCTAGACCCCACGTTGGGTCACTGACAATCTCCTCTAACTCCAAGGATCCCAGCATCCTCTTCTGATTTCTAAAAGCACCTGCATACATGAGTGTCTCTTACATATCTTTAAATAAAAATAAATCTTTAAAAATAGCTTTAAAAAATAGAAGCTAAAATCAGTGTCCCTTGGTTGTTAAGTAAGCCAGTTACATGGATTAAATTCCTCACATAAAAGACCATTATGTGTGTATAAGAAAAGTCCTCAAGAAATTGAGCCATCATTACAGAGTCTGTAACATTTCAGCTGTCGCTATAACTCAGGTGTCATCCACTGAATCTAGGACATGAGAAAGGCAAGGCTTGCCTTTATGAATAGTATTCTTTCCAGCTGGAGTAAGAGGTGGAGTTCAGAGGTAAATTAGCAGGGATGGGAGGAAACAGGCCATTGCTACGTGTCCCTCAGAGAGCGAGTGGAAGGGCTTCCACACTTAGGAAGACAGGTGTGAAGCTCGGTATGTATACCTTTTAGTATCCTTTCCCTGAAGTCAATCTTCATGTTTGTATTTGGACGTGTTGAATTATATGTGACAATCACACAGTTTACCACTGATCTACACCCACAGCCTTTCAATAAGGACTTTTTTTGTTTTGTTTTTGTTTTTCGAGACAGGGTTTCTCTGTATAGCCCTGGCTGTCCTGGAACTCACTCTGTAGACCAGGCTGGCCTCGAACTCAGAAATCCACCTGCCTCTGCCTCCCAAGTGCTGGGATTAAAGGCGTGCGCCACCACCACCGCCTGGCTCAATAAAGACTATTAAAGGGCTCCTAACATGGTAGTTTGGTCACAGTGATTCGAGAAAGGGAGATGAGAAGGGAGTTAAAAAGCACCATAAACCCATTACAAGAGAGACATTTATGAGTGAGGTAGAGTGAGGTGAGAGTACTAAGCTGAGCTGTGTGCCAGAGGAGACAAGTGTCAGAGTTCTGCCAACGCTGATAGGGGTAGGAAGTGAATGAAGTGAGACCTGTTAGCCACCTGACACTGGTTGAAGCTACTTGTAACTGGGCAGAGGCCTACCGTAAGTCTTCTACCTCCTAGACCACAGTGTTTTTGGTTTATGAGCCCAAGCTGGGCTGCCTGGTACAAAACATCGTCCTTTATGCTCCAAGACAACTTGTAAATGTGAGTCAGCATGACAGGCAGAGAGGAAAGTACCATGTAGGCAGACATTGTGAGCAGACTTCATATGTTCAGAGAGCTAGCTTTTGCATGTGTACTATGTGCTAGGCACTGAACTAGCTTCTAACACTGGGACAGCTGCACTGTGATAGCAGTCCTGTCCAGCAGGAGGAAGAGATTTCAGATCTGAAAAACTGGACAATAATTGGTTCATTCTCTGAACCTGTAGCTGGCAGGTGGCTCTGTCATCAGAACTCCCTGGTACCCTTCAGTAAGGGCAGAGAACCTTTCTCCAAGCACATATGTTTAAATCTTTAACTTAGGAGAAAAAAAAAAAAACCTGATTTCAGTTAAAAGGAAAAATCCAAAAGAACATACAAATTCGACTAGTCACAGCTGTTGCCCTGGACTCTTAGGAGCTCATGCTGTCTGTTTCTCCTGCTGTCTGTGCAGGTTTCCAGGTCCTGTCATTTCTGCTTCCTGTTGGTGCCTTTGTTCATTTTCATTTGTTAGCAGTCTGTCCTCATGTTTTCTTCCTGTGGGTTCCACTTTGGACTACTTAAGCTCTTTTCTTTACCTTGGTTCCCTCCCAACACTGTGTCCTGTTTCCAAGTGACATACTTATCCTTTATGGAACCAGTAATTCTTTTTCAACAGTTTCATGTGTGTTAGAATACTGTCTTCACTTAGTGATTTCAGAAGGCTTAAGAAAAAATTCATCTGATGCCCCATGCTCAGATTTCCGGTGTAGCTTTCCCCGTGATGTACAGTTGTACAAGATAAGTGTGAAAAGTTACTAGTGTCCCCTGCTTCAGCCCTTTTCCCTGCTAGGAATGTTTTGATCCCCTCTTCCCTTTTGTTCAGACTTGTTAAGGGGGAAACAAAAGATCATTTCTAGTTTTCGAAGTAGCAGGAGGTTTGTTTTCTCCATGGCCTGCCTCCCATTTCTTCCTTTATAAAGAAGTAGTGTTGGAAACAGTGAGGGCTGAAGGATCAGAGGACTTTGACTGACTTTGCTGTAGCAGTAACTTGCTTTGTGACCTGTGACCAAGGCCTCACTCTGGGCCACTCAGCTCCCTAGCTCTGCAAATTGAAGGGCTGGCTTGAATGGTGTTTAAATCCCCTCGAGTTCTTAGTTCAGGGTCACAAGAGGCTCTTAGGAAGTGTAACCTGGCCAGCCAGCCTCTCAGTGCTACACCGCTCCCCTTGGAAACCTTTTGAGGTTTGTTGCTGCTTACCTGGCAGCAGCTGAGAGGAAGTTCTTTCACAACTAGAGACTTAGCTGTAAAAACTCCTGACTCTTAAGGACCAGATGACCAAGAGAACAGTTTTCAAAATAGAAGAAATAGCAGCAGGAGGTTTGTTTTCTCCATGTCCTGCCTCCCATTTCTTCCTTTATAAAGAAGTAGTATTGGAAACAGTGAGGGCTGAAGATCAGAGGACCTTGACTGACTTTGCTGTCTTTAAAAGGAGAATGAGGTACTTGGAGCAGTTGCTGCTCCAGCAGTGATTAAGGACGGCTGGTGTCTTCTGTCTGAGAGAGTCTTGGGAAAAGGGGCCAGAGAGATGGCTCAGGGGGTAAAGTGCTTGAGAACCTGAGTTTGGATCCTTAGAATCCAAGTAGAAGCCAGATGACTGTGCATGGAGTGGGGATGGAGACTGGTGGATCCTGATGGCTTGCTCTCCAGCCAGTCCAAGCAAAATGGGGAGCTCCAGGTTGAGAGACATGCCTCAGAAAAAGAAAAGGAAAAAAGAAAGGAAGGAAGAAAAAAATGGAGAAATGAATAGGGAAGACATTCCGAAGTCAGCCTTTGTTCTTACATGGGCAGGTGGGCCAGCATGCACACATACACTTTAACACACTGAGCACTTAACTGTGCCATTTAACTGAAAAGTATGTCATGTGTGGTTGTGTCTCCTGAAAGGAAAACTCAAGTACCTTACTTGGAGAGCTAACTAAACGCTGCCAAGGTTTATGCCGTCTTATGTAATGTCTAGCACACGGGTGCTAAAAGATAGTTGGATTATGTATTTTGGAGAGAACACTGAATGTTTAAGAGAGGATAAATGTTAAGTATGCCCTCAGATCTACTGTGGTTCAGAGATATATGCCTGGGAGAAAATTCCCACACAAGCAGGTTTGCTCATAAGGCTGAATGGATCTGAAGTTAATGTCTGGTCTAGGGAGTAAAACTCTATTCTTGGGTATGGTGGCTCTGTAAACCTACTGCTTGGGAAACCAAGACAGAAGGATTGTGATCTTGAGGTCAGTTCACAGTGAGGTCCTGTATCCAAACAAAGCAACACTCTTAAGGGTCTGGCGCTAGAAATTAAAGCCAGCTCAGTGATAGAGCCTCTGCTGAGTTTAATCTCCTTCCCTTCCAAACAAAACAGAGACATGCATGACACATGATCACAAAGTGAGTGTAAATGCTCTTCATTGTTATTTTAGAAAAGCTTACCATACTTGTTATGTAAAGAACAGTTTAAGCAGCATAGAAATTTATATGGTAAAAGTAAACTGTCCCCTGTCTTCCATCACTCTCACCACACAGGTGCTACCATTGTTAAGTGGCTTTGCCTTCTAAATTTATTTCTGAACCTGGGTGACCATATCAAATATGTTTTTGTTTTATTTTCATGTATTTACACATACATACATACATACATACACATAAATGTATGTATGTATATATGTATATGAGATAACCACTATACTACAGAAAGCTTTCCCTATCATACATATCCTGTGTCATGATAATGTATATTAATGGAGTTCTGTACACACTGCTCTCATCAGGCGGTTACTGGCCTCCTGTGGACCCTTTGCTGTTACAGCTTGCAGCTACAGTTCTTTCTTTCTCATCCTGATGTGGAATGAATTCTTTTGTCCCGAATGCCTTTTAGAAAATGTTTATGACAGATCTTTGTGTATTCCAACAAATTGAGAGATAATAAACACTTTTAACCATTGGTAATTAAGTTATTCAAAAAGTCAAATGTTTGTAAATGGCTCTGTCTGTCTTTTGAAGTAACGGTATTTCTGTGAGTCTCTCTGAAGAACTACTTGTAAATGGTTGTAAAACTTTGTAAGCCCCAAGGAAGCACATTTTCAAGGAAGATCAGTTTCTTTTTCTACTTAGGAAGGTATTAAACACCCTTAGAAAATTCCACAAAAGAGAGGGTAAGCATGTGAAGAACCTCTTGAGATCCAGCTGCCTGAAGATGGTTATTTTCATTGTTGAGTATATTTTTATCACCATACTTCATATGCATAAATTTACACTGTACTCCTAAATATAGCCACCACTGTCCTCCAGTTCTGAATACATTTCCATTTTTGGAGCTGTATTGTAAACAGCAACTGAATATTCTGTATTGATCTGAACACTTTATAGTGTTTCTATGGAACAGTCCTGAAGGTAGAATTAGGGGAGATATTGAGGAGTGAATTGTTTTAACCTGAAGTAAAGGTAATTTGTGAGCTTCATGTTTACTGAATAAAAATAACATGCTTTTCTTTAGATCAAAATTTCTCTTAAAAAATCTGAGGTATGTAGTTTATTTCTTAGCTACACAGGTTTCCTTGTGAGTAGAGATAACAGCTTCTCAGACTTTAGATACACATAAGGAGGTAGAAACTTACTGTTTTTAGACAGCTATTAGTTGCTGGAAAAATCTGTACTCATTGTAGGGAAATATGTTAATTCATAATTTCCACTATTATTTCTGAATCAGAACCCCAGAAAACTAAGCTACTCACCTCTTCCCCAATGCTTGTTTCTCCCACTGTCCTGGCTTTTTTGTTAGTCAACTTGACAAGCAAGAGTTATCTGGGAAGATAATTGAACCAAGAAAATGCCTCTCAGATTGCCTGTAGACATTTTCTTTATTAATGATGTGAGATAGTCCAGCGTTCTATGGCTGTTGCCACCCCTAGACAGGTGGTCCTGGGTATATAAGAAAGCAAACTGTGAAAACCAGTAAATAGCCTTCCTTCAAGGTTTCAATTCCTGTCTCCAGGTTCCTGACTTGAGCTCCTGTCTGGACTCCTTTCCATGATAGACTATGCTGTGTAATTGTAAGCGAAACAAACCCTTTCATCCCCAAGCTGCCTTTAGTCATTGTGTTATTGCAGTAGCAATAGAAACCTTAAGACACCCAGTATCTGAGAACAGCTATCACTTGTTGATGTTCTCTACTTCTTCGTAAGCTAGAGTTTACCAATTTTCTTTTGCTTTTTTTAGCCTGAATTTTATTGCTCACACAGTTTGTTTGGTGTTTAGTTGCATTTTTATAAATAGACATTTATACATTGACTGCTGAATTTAGGTGCTCTCTCTCCAGTCTCTGTACATTGGAGTTTTGGACCTGAAAGCACAGCTTTGCCCTTCATGTCATTAAATGTAATAATCTTCCTTGAATTAACACATTGTTTTAGCTGTGGGTTACCTTAGGTCTGTAGGTCGGCAGGTTGTCTCTGATCCATTACTCTGTTTTGTGTAACCTGTGGGCTTTACTAGTACTTCCCCTGAGTTCTGTAAACTTTTTTCACTTAATGACTCCTATTTACCTAAGAAAATTCCATATGGCCTTAGTTATGTAGCTATATAAGACAGGTTTATAATCAAACATTTACTGTTAATCATAACTGTGCTTAATTTATTTTTTACTGTGTGTGTATGAATGTTTTGCCTGTATGTTTGTCTGTGTACCACATGTGTATAGTATTTGTAGAGACAGAAGAGGGTGTTGATCCCATAGAACTAGAGTTACAGGTAATTGTGAGCTCCTATGTGGGTGCTGGGAATTGAACCCGGATCCTCTGGAAGAGCAGCCAGTGGTTTTTTTTTTTTGTTTGTTTGTTTTTTTTTAGGTTTTTCGAGACAGGGTTTCTCTGTGTAGCCCTGGCTGTCCTGGAACTCACTCTGTAGACCAGGCTGGCCTTGAACTCAGAAATCCACCTGCCTCTGCCTCCCAAGTGCTGGGATTAAAGGCGTGCACCACCACTGCCTGGCCGCAGCCAGTGTTCTTAACCACTGAGCCATATCTTCAGTTCCACAAATATAACTTAAAACAGTTCTTTGGTATATATAATTTACTGTTTGTTAAAAATTAAAGCAAATTTGTGTGCTAATGAGATAAGTGAGCTCATTTTATGTTTCACAGAAATTTAAATCTTGGGTGAATGTTTAATCTTGTAGGCACAGCATCTCCAGTATTTTTCAGAGTTCATCGCTGTTTTGATTTTTATAACCAATGCTGAGAAAGTTGCATTGCATAAGTATGTATACAGTGCAAAATGACAAGGCTATTTTTTAGTGCCATTTCAAAAACTGCTGGAAATTCTGTTATAGGCTCAAGCCAAAAAGCACCTGAGGATTTTTTACTTTTTAAAAGAAATTGGTCAGCAACTCAAATAGCAATTTCAAAAATCAACAATTCTAATAGAGTGTGTGCAGATAGGATAGTCAGTACCCACATGCTGTGGAATGATGATGGGAAAATTCTTAAAACATTGTTCTTTTTCCACAGCAAGAAGAGGCTTTGTGTAAGACCTGTAAGTGCAAAGGGTGCCCTTTAGGTCAGAACCAAGGTGGTAGCGAAATCACGTGACTCCACTGCAGGAAGCACCTCCGACTTCTATGTATATGATTTTGGATTACGTTCTTTTTGTTGCATGTTAAATGAATTTTGAACTTTTGTATGTCTTAAAACAGTGTACTTTACTAAGTATATAAGTATCACTGCCTGGGTTTCAAATGCCCACTTAAAGATATCTAAATGAAGAAGGAAGACCCAGGCAGGCCACCTTATAGTATCTTGTTTATGCCCTGTCCAGAGTACTTACACTACACAGATGCTGCAGAGGTTGTATAACATGCTCTTTGCTGTATATATGTTACAACTGTGTCTTATTTATTTAAGATCTGGACATTGGTAGTTGGCTACGTGCTGATGGTTTCATTCAAGTGGAATGCAAGCACTCGACGTTACTTGAGGGCAGTTTCGATTCCTGTCTGGATGATACTGCTTTTTCATATAGGTGAGTCCTTTCTTCTTCAAAGACCCAGTAACTGTAGTTTAAAGTCATCAGAGGCTAACCAGAAGTGGGTCTTTGTATGTTGCACTTAAGATGCTTTAGCATACTCTGTAGAAAATGTTGAGCCTCGAGCTTTCACTTACCTTCAGTGAAGATACTCTGCTTTCAGATGTTGATCTTTTAAGTTCCCTACATATTCTTTAGTAAGTCCTTGAAGAGTTAGTGTGTCTCCCATTGCAGCGGTGGTGACCTTCTAACTCACTTTGCTTGTGGCATGCTTGGGGAGGAGATAGACAAGCACCCAGGATGATGAGGCTTGGGCCTCGTTGAAAGGATTAGAGAAGATTTTGGTCTGGGTAAGAAGAAGGTCCTGGGGCAGGAATGGGGGAGGAGGTTAGACAAGAAGAGTGTATGAAATACAAAAACCTAGAGGTGAAGGACTGTCCATCCTGTGAAAGAGTGTCTTAAGCAGATCTGTGATCACGAAGGAGAGATGCTAGAGCTTCAGGGAGCACTGGGAAGACAGTTCATGGCTTAGTAGAGATGGTGCATATCAGGGCTGCTCAGAGTCATGAGTTTCCTGTTCTGTGGAGCAGCTCACTGTTAGCTGGGGTGATGGTGGTACTGCTTCTGCATGCTCTTGAATGGCTTTCAGCATGACTCACATGATTGGGAAAGGCTTCTAAGTCTGAGTTGATGGAAATAACAAGTTCTACTTTAAAAAGAAAATCATCGAGCAACTTAGAGCATCAGATAACCTAAAGTTGTTTTTAGAGTTTGCTTTTATAAATTGTGTCCCCCACCTGGTCCCCAAGAAAGAAGCAGCCAAGCCCAGCCAAATGAAAATGTCTCTGCTCAGGGTCTGACTTTAAGAGAGAAAGAAGTACTCTGCAGGCTTGTGGAGCTGGAACTATAAGGTTTATCTGCAAGGTCTCCTGATGATGTGACTCAGGTTAAATTTGCAGAAGGCAGAAGAGGACTCAGGGAAGGCAGAAGAGGACTCAGGGAAGGCAGAGAGGGACTCAGGGAAGGCAGACACTTGGGGACTTAGCTGTGTACTGTGAGAGTTCTGGCTACAGTTTTTGGGTTTGCTGGGCCCTTTTGAAACTTGAGTTCTAACCTAGTGATATTTCAGAGGACCAGGTTGGTTCCCTGACTTCAGGGTTTGCACCTGACTCTGTTCATCTTAGTGTCAGGTGCTGCACAGGGTTGAACTTGATTTTGGGGTAATGTGAAACCTGTGAGTGTGTGGGGGTGCATATGATGGACTGGAGATTGACCTCTTAAGGGTAGGTTGGCACATGCCTTGATCCTTTGAGAGCAAGAGTAAAACTGTCCTTTAGTTAGAGTCTACCTGTTCTAGGGCCTTTTAAAAATGTTTTCCCCTGTGAAATAATCTCTTAAATTGCATATATGTCAAATTGCTCTGTTAACTAAAAATATGACTTCTTAATACTTTTCAGCATCACTGGCTGGCTCATGGAGAATTCCAGTGTTCCTGGTTATTGTTTTCCTGATGTCTGTGGGCACCCTTTATGAAAAACAGAATGAGAAGGAGTCTCCTGGTAAAGTCTTTTATGAGTACATTCTTAGTATTTTGAAAGGATAACTATCTCTATTGCTATGATAAACACCATGACCAAAAGTGACTTGGAGAGGAAAGGGTTTATTTTCTCTTATAAGTCTCAGGTCAAAGGTTACACCCTATCAAAGAGAAGTCAGGGTAAGAGCTCAAGACATAAGCTGATGCAGAGGCCATGAAGGACTGGCTTGTTCTTCATGACTTTCTCAGCCTGCTTTCTTACAGCTCCTGTGACCATCGCCCTGTGATGGCACCACCCACAGTAAGCTTGGCAGGAGAATGCACCACAGGCCAGTCTGGTGAGGGAATTCTCTCAGTTGTGGTTCTGTCTTCCCCAATGATTCTACTGTAATAACTTACCAGTAACTTACCAAACAAAGTGCAGTAACTTACAAAAAAATGCCAAGGAGAAACCTTTTAATGTATTAAAAACCTGAAGTAATTTCTAAACAGAAAAGTAATTTATCTATAATGTTTTAGGTTTCTTTGGACCATGTTCCTATTTTTTTTTTTAAGATTTATTTATTTATTTTATGTACATGAGTTCACTGTTGCTGTCTTTAGACACACCAGAAGAGGGCATCAGATCCCATTACAGATGGTTGTGAGCCACCATGTGGTTGCTGGGAATTGAACTCATGACTTCTGGAAGAGCAGTCAGTGCTCTTAACTGCTTAGCCATCTCTCCAGCTCCATGTTCCTATTTCGTATCTTTTTATTATTATAGTTAATATAAAATTGTCCATCAACTATTGTTAAATGGCATTTGTATTCCTTAGTACTGTGTGCCTATCACCTCTGTCATGTTTTACAGTATTTACCACTCTGAAAGGAAAACCCGTACATGTGTCAGTACTGTACTTTCTTTTTAAGGGCTGAATAGTATTCCATCATACAGATATTCTACATTCTGTTTATCATCCTTTCATAGATATGTGGGTTGTTTTCATCTCTTGGGTCTTGTGAGTAGTGCTGGTATGAAGCATTTATGTACAGGAAGCTGTTTATTTATTTAAAAATTCAGTCTCCTGTTTTGGCCTGTCTTCCAGTCAAGATGCTTGCACCCCAGGACCTGTGTGGAAGACTAGAGTGGTACAGGGCTGGTAGCTTCCATTTGTGCTGCTTGTCCCTTTCTCTAAGTGTCAGTGACTCTTAACAGATCTGAGGGCTCTTCCCCCTCGCTATGGGCTGATGTCACTTTCAGGTGCTTGGTTATAGCATAAGTCTGGGCAGCTTTATCTTTCTATAGGATCTTGTCTGTGGATTCAACCATCTGAAAATGTATTTTGGGAACATGACAGCGATGTTGAGCATATAAAGACCTTTTCTTGTCATTTTTGCATATACAGTGCAGCATCACAACTATTTACGTGGCATTTATATAATCTAGGGAAGATTTAAAATGTATGTGAGGATGTTCATAGGTCATGTGCAACACTGTCATTTTCTAAGGGACTTGCTGTATACAAGAGGTCAATGACTGGTCCCTGTGATACTGAGGGATTCCTGTACATGAGTATATGAGTAACAGATCTCTACCAAAGGGTTTCAGGCCCCTCTCCCCTCTCAGTATACATTCTAGTCACCCAGTCTTTAAAGAACTCTGAGAAGAATAACATAGGACTAGGTTTTGAGTGTTCGGGTAAAGAGAGACTGAGGTCAGCTATTGCCAGGCATCAACCCAGTCTAGGGTGTTGATATGCCAGCCTGTTTTCTGAAACCTGGGCTATTGACTCTCAAGGAAAGATGTCACAGAGTTGAAGAATAAATGCAGAGAACAGAATTGGAAGCAACGATTTTCCTGCTTTGTTCTAATTTTTTCTTGCTTCAGAGCTGGTTACTGTTGACCTTAGGACCTTCAGTGCTTTTCCAGAGGCCTAAATATTTTTCCTCATGTTCCTAACATCTTATTTCTCTATGACTGAGACGAGCAACCATCTGGTCCATAAGGGGGCAGCCCTCCCTTGTGTTCCTTTTCTTCCTGCAGATGATGCTGTACTGTGGTACAGGAATGCTTCAGTGAGCTGCCTCAGCAGGGCCTGTTCTGATCTTTGCTTGCTCTTGAACTTGTGTGGGGTCACCTCGGTGAATGGCCTGCTTTGCGTCATCTGGGCTGTCTTAGCTTTGTGATCCACAGTAAGCTTACTGTGTAGAATTAAGCTTCTGGGTTTCATTAGAATTTAAAGTCTGTTTGTTTGATTCCTGGACCTGGAAACTTGAGTTTGTTTCAACAGTTCACTCTAAATTTAGGGCCTTGACTCTTGGACCTTGGGAACTCTTAGGAGGTGTTTCCTGGAACTTTAAATCACATAGGGGAAAGAAAAATGAGTTCAAGTGTTTCTTATTGAATAAGAACTTTCTGGGATACTTTTAAATTTTATTTTTTTTTATGTATATAGGTACTGTGTGTGTGTGTGTGTGTGTGTGTGTGTGTGTGTGTACGCGCATACACACATATGCAGTGTCCAAGGAGGCCAGAAGAGGCATCAGATCCCCAAAACTATAATAATAGATGTAGCCACAATGTGGGTGCAGGTCTTCTGGAAGAGCAGCCAGTGCTCTTAATCACTGAGCCGTGGCTTCAGCTTTTTGAGGTACTTTCAAATGGGCTGTCTTTAGAAATCCACCATCAACAACAGCAAAACAAGCAAAACACAAACCAAACAAATGAAACTGAATTGATGGTGCCTCCATCTACTGATGAAGGTGTTTCATTTTGGGGTTCTGAGGCATCTCCAGTCACACTGGTGGAGCTATGGTTTAAGCCAAGGTCTGTGACCCCCATGTTCTTTTCCTGTCCTTGCCACATTGAGTGAGCAGGCATTATTCATAGTGAAAGTGTCAACACTGATGTCTTGCCCCAGTTGTAGTTGTCATTACCTTTCTTATTCTGTTAGCCCGGTTGACTCATCACTTTCTGCCCACTGGATGCTGTCCCACTAGGTAGGAACCTGCTGTCCTAGTTTATCTTCTGTGCTAGACAACTTCTTAGTCCTTTGCACAGGCTGGCTGATGTAATGAGATCCCAGCAGTGTCTGAAGGGTAGGTGTTGTATCAAGATGCCCATATCTGGTGGCTCACCTTGTCATTGCAGCATCACACGACCTCTTAATATTATTATAGTGACAGTTGCACTTCAGCATGAGCTTTGGATGAGACAAACATTCAAACATCACCTCTGGAAAAAAGTGACATTGCATTCCCTTGGCCTATAGAGAGATGAGAGTACCAGTATTATTCTCACCAATGCATGGTGATTTTTTTTTAAAGATTTATTTATTTATTATATATGAGTACACTGTAGCTGTCTTCAGACACACCAGAAGAGGGCATCCAGATCCCATTACAGATGGTTGTGAGCCACCATGTGGTTGCTGGGAATTGAACTCAGGACCTCTAGAAGAGCAGTCAGTGCTCTTAACCCCTGAGCCATCTCTCCAGCCCCAACCTTGGTGATGTTTAAACATGCCATCTTTTTTTTTTTTTTTTTTTTAAAGCAATCCAGTGAGACTCATTTTTTTTTTGTGTGTGTGTGTATGTTTGATTCAGAGATTTCTTCTGTATATGAGATAAGATTTTTCAAAAGTGAGAAAAGTAAGGATTGGAAAATGGCTCATTGGTTAAGAGCACACACTGCTCTTTCAGAGGACCAGAGTTCAGTTCCCAGCGCCCATGTCAGGTGGTTCACAGTTGCCTATAACTCCATGGTTGGCTCCCTGGGACCTAATGTCGTCTTCTGGCCTCAGGGAATATGCACACATATCAGTTTGCATACCACAGCTCAGCCAGCAGTCTGTTCAGGGAGGGCAGAGCATAATCTGAGGACCCCTAGTCAGGCCGGAACAAAAGGTCCCAGGGGCGCTGGCCTGGCTAGAAAAGCCAAAATGTTACAGCTCTCTATGGGGAAGCGGAGTGGGGCAGGCTGCTGGACCTCTTCTGATGCAGTCACAGCCCTGGAGTTAGCGGCCAGTGTTGAAATGCATTGAACAGCTAAAAGTCGAAGTAGCTAAGTAATGGTTAGCCTGGAGCAGTAGTGTGGTACTCCTGGCAGCTGCCCTTCTGCTAATAATCGTTAGACATACCTTTGCTAGCCAGAAGATAGTGGTGCATGCTTTTAATCCCTGCCTTTCAAGTGAAAGGCAGAGGCAGGCAGATCTCTTCGAGTTCAAGGCCAGCCTGGTCTATAGAGTGAGTTCCAGGACAGCCAGGGCTACATATCCTGTCTCAAAAAAACAAAAACAGAAAAATACCTTTGCAGGGAAGCTCTGGTAGATGTTTTAATTGCTTGGGAAAGTATATGATATAAAAGAACAAGCTTGGTCCAGTGAAGCCCATGTAGAAAAAAAATAGGAGGAACAAAGTCAACAGTTCATCTCCTACTCTGCAGTTGACAGCCTCATAGCCTAGAGGAACCTGTGTTTATATCCAGGTTCTGTGCACTACAAGCTGTTGAGAGGAAGATGTGTTTTCCATGTTGATGAGGGAGGCAGCCTTCTTACAGGTCACTCCAGCCTAGCAGGCGTCCATGTGTGCGCTACCTTGTGTCAGCTGCAGGCATTTTCGTTTTCTCATTGTCGCTGCTTTGGGAGAACAGCAGATCAAGAAGTAGCTTCTTATTTATACTCGTATCAACATGTGTTTTCCCATCAATACTGAAAAATTAATGTGCTAATTGTGGACTTTTATTAACTCTTGACTTTGTGTCTTGTCCGTGACCGCCTTTGGACTTGGGCAGAATATTCATACTGACCCTGACCCTGTGCAGATTGATACTTGAAACCTTGGGTGTTCCCTGCCCCACCTCACTCCACTTCCAGTCTTTGAGCCCAAGATCATGTACCCTTGTTTATATATCTATTTTTAGCTGCCTTTTAAATCTAGTACCATGATCTTACCTAGAATCTCATTCTTGGCATACATCTGTGCAGACCTTTTGGGGCTTTTGAAATACAGAAACATAACACGTAGATAGAGCTCATTAAAATGTGTATCTGCTTTTTAAACGACCAGGTCCATGAAGTTCAAGTACCTTTTGTTAATTTTCTCTGCATGCTCCTCCTTTGACTCTTCTGAAGTTTGAGGCTCTAGTCACTGATGGTCACAGAATGCTTAGATTTCATTGAATATTTATTGCATGTTTTACTGACACTAGATAATTGAATAGTCTTTATGTTGTAGTTTCGATGCTTTAACTTTCTGGATTTACTTTTCAGATCTTCTAAGTGTCTGCCATATGCAGAATGTTACTTAACCCTGAGAGAAGATACAAACATGTCTGCTAGGGAGAGTGTGACTTAGGGCATAACTGTACTATAGGTGAAGGATGGGAGCTGCAGAGAAATCCCATAGACACTAGTGGCTTATGCTTACAGTTCTTGCTGTCAGCAACAGAACTTTGTTGCTGATAACAGCTAAGGAGCTCTCGGTATACCTTCTGAATACCAGGAAGCATTCAGGCCTTTTATGTGTATCTTTTCACTCTGTCACATCGGAATTGGAATTTATATGGAGTTCATTTTGCCAATGAGGAGACTGGGTGTGTGATTGTCAGGGATTCTCCTACTGCCATCCACATATTAAGAACATATTAAGGCCTTCTTCCATGTATAGAAACTGGCTTTCCACTCTGATCTCCATCTCACAAATACCTGTGTACTCCTCTCCTAAGCCTGTGCTTGGCCATATTGGACTGCTTGCAGGCCTTTGAAGAGGATGCTGTGTTTCTTTGTGGCATCCTTTGCTTGCTTCTTTTCTTTTTCTTTTTTTGTCTTGGAACATGTTTCTACTGCTCTTATTTAAGCTCCAATCCCTCCTTCTAACCCCAAGATAGACTTGTTCTGTTTCTTTATGTGGCTGCTGTTTAAGTGCGTTAAAGAATGCATGATCTAGGATTCATAAGAGAGAAGTCCTTTGGAAACTGTCCCCTGGGCCCCTGCCATGGATTAGGCTTCTATCCTTGTGCTCCCCAAACCTTCTACACTATTTGGCATTAATTCTTAACATATTGATTGTATGTGATAGTTTTAGCTTTACATTGAATGTGAGGTTAAAGTCCTGGTCGCTTATGTTACTCCTTTTGGATGAGTAAACTTAAAAATCACTATGGAAGTTGTTTTGTAGGGTGTTTCAAGTGAGTCTCCTCTATAATAAATTGCCTATGCAGAAGTCTGTTTAGGACCGCTGACTGTTGCTCACTTTAGAGGAGAGATTATTGGCTTATTTTAACATTTTGACTGGAAGTTGCCCCCCACCCCTTTACTGTTTAAGGTATCCACACTGTGATTTTGTTTGGGGCCTTCCACAGATATTTCTACTGGGCACACTCCTGAGAATCTAGTTCTGTCCTGTCTCTGCTGCAGATGGTTTGTGAGACTTTTATCTACAAGTATGTTCACCCCAGCCCCTTACCATTCCCTGCTGGATAATCAGCTGTGATCTGTCAGTTTATCATGGTATTCCTTGGAATCCAGACACTCTCCATATGCTGGAGATCACATCCAGGTTTCCTTTCTCGATCCTTCTCCAGAAAAACAGGATTGATCTAAGTATATCTCAGAACTGGTCACTTATTTCCAGAGCAGGTGGCCACTGTGTGAATTCTGAAAGGGCGGTGCCAAGGATGCTTGTAGCTAGGACACTTGTATGGCTTATGTCTTGCTGCTGGCCTGACTGGAATGCTGCATTCTAGTTTTCCAAGATGCTGCTGTTGTGAGAAATTGAGTCACTTCTTAGAGCTACACACAAGTCCGCGTGTGTGTGTGTGTGTGTGTGTGTGTGTGTGTGTGTGTGTGTGCGTGTGTATGTGTGTATTATGTATTGTACTATATTTCCATAGGGAGGGATGGAGATTACTCCCTGTCTATAATTCCAGCACTTTTCTGTTCTTTGGATAAAGACTAGAGCTGACAGTATGATCTCTGCCTAATGTCATTTGGCTTAATGGTTATAGCTCTGTGTATTTGGTCCCAGTGACCCACTAGGATCTGTGCTCTCCACGCACTGACCTTCTTTTGCTATTCATAGCCTTCCAGCTAGCTTCCTTCTATCCTAAGGTTAGTTTTGGTATTTGTTTAATTCCCTCTCCTCTATTACAATATCAATTATATTTTCATTTTCAAAGAAAACTCTTCCTTTGGGCCTAGAAAAATAACTTAGAAGTTAAGAGCACTTGCTGCTCTTATGGAGGACCTTTGTTCAGTTCCCAGCACCCACATGGTGGCTCACAACCATCGGGGATCTGCACTCTCTCTGGCTTCTGTGGGCACTGCACATATGTGGTATACAGACACACATTGCAGGCTAAGCACCCATATGCAATGAAAAATAAACCTCTAATGAGAAAACCCTTCCCTTATTTTCCAGTTATGTCAGGTTTCTTGTCTTAGGAGATAGTGAAACACCTGCTCCATGTAGGACAGCTGTAATTTGTCACGGTTTTTATGGGTTTTTTTGTTTGTTTTTTGTTTTTTTTTTAAATTCAGGTATGTCTCTTCACTATACTCTGAGAATTGGGTTTTTGTCTTTATCCCCCAACACAATACTAGTAAGCAATGAGGACATGTCAGACATAAAAGGTGCCTCTTTTCTCCCTCAGTGGATGCTTCCCTTTTGCTGTAGTTAAAGGACTTGGGTATGTGGCTAGGAGACCAAGGCTAGGAGACAGACATGCAGCTTATGTCTTCTTTCTGGACTGTGAGTGAGAGTTTCTCCCCAAGTGTCTTTCATATGATGTGGCATATGAAACCATTTCCAGTGGTGGATTTTTTTTTATATTTTGTAGATCTGTTTTTGTACAGTATCCATATATTTGCATGTTCATTTATGTAATGTTATTACTATAAATAATAAATGTGGGCTGTCCATACTGTATTAGAACCTAAGAATACAAAGTACTGTAAGACAGTTCAATTGGTGAGTTCTCGGACTCTATGCAATGTTTTTCAGTGGAAATGTACATTAAAATCATCTGGTAAAGTTTAAAAAAAAAAAAAAAAGAAAGCCCAGCATTTTGAATGTATTTGTTTGGTGCAGTATCTGGCTGCTTACCAGCTTGAGGCTCTCATGAAGATGACGACAGAATGTCCAGGAACTGGCAGCTGACGAGTTTGAGGTGTTCTTCCTTATAAAAAGACCCACAGTGCCTGAGAAATCACCATATTACCATTTTGGTTTGTTGCTACTGAAAATAGTTTTAAATCGGTTTAAATTGGCAGTAGTTCATGTTCATTTGCTTAAAGGCTTTTAAAACTGTTTCTTCTCCCCTACCCCGACCCTTTATAGGGGCAGAATTACCAGGACAAGTGATCTCCATGGCAGCTTCTACTCTTGCAAATTTGGCCATCTCCATCACTGGATATGAGTCGAGCAGTGAAGACCAGCCCTCTGACCCCCCAGCAGGTGACTGACATCATGAAAGAGATGACAAGATATAAGGAGGGGACAGAGTGAAGGCCGGACTTGCTGGTCCTCCCTGATTCTCATTCTGACTGCTGTTTTACACCATCGTCCTCCTGTATTTTTCCCATGCTTCCGATTGTTTACCTTCTTGGGTTTCTTGTCCTAGCCCTTTTCCCCTGGCCTCTTCAAACATGCCCTTCTAACACTTCTCACCCTGCTTTTTTGCCTCAGTCCCATTTACCATCCAGGTTCTGCCCAGCTCTGTGCTCTCCTTATCTTGGTTTTTAATTTTCTCTTCCTTCTCCAGCAGCCAGTTATACATGATTCTGGTTTTTATGCCTTTTCTTCCCTCCCAAACTCCCTATTTGTATCTGGATGTTTTTCTTTTCCACATTTTCTGCATTTTTTTTTCCTGAAAATTTTTTCTCTTTAAGTAAAAGTATAGTTTGAATGCCTTATGCTGTATGTATTTACTGGCTTCCCAAAGCAGGCCCTCTGGTTGTTCTGCGAGGCCTAGCTTTTGTGAGATCCAACTGATAGATTCATTCCAGGTTTGGAGACACCTTGTACCGCACTCTCACAAAGATCAGAAGTGTGTAAGTGTGTTTCAGTTTGTACTAAGACGTCCATTAATGCCAAGGGTATTTGGAGGTGGAACATATTATAGGAAATGCTTTTGTTTTTAGTGTATATGATTAGTGTATGTCTGTTATGTGCATATGTTTATGATGTGAGCATGTGTGTGTAGAAGCCAGAGGTCAATACCAGTGTTTTTCTTTGTCACTCTCTACCTTATTTTTTTTAAGTAGCATCTTTCATGGCTGAAGCTTATTAATTCCCTTGGTGTGCTTGCCAGCAAGCTTCAGTAATCTTTGTCCCTGTTTCTCGAGCACTGGGACTGCAGCCCTTTTTATGTTTATGTTGAGGCTCCTAACCCAGGTCTTTGTGTATATGTACCAAGTAATTTACCAGTTGAACCTTTTTTCTATCTCCCCCCCAACCCCCCATATAGGAAGCGTTTCTTGAAGAACCAACTTAAGACATATTTAAAGAAGGAAAAATTTAGGAGAGGACTATGCAGAAAAGTAGGAACACATGCTTTTCTTATGTATGAAACCATGTTTCAAAAGTGGAGCAGGATGATACTTAGGTTATAGTGTTAGTGTTTTGGCATCTGTCATTCCCACTGACCTGGAATTTCCACATCAGACAAGCAGAGCAAGGTCAAAACAAAAGCGTGTTATCATCTGCTGCTTCACTTTAGCCTTGACCCACGTGCAGGGATACATGCAGGCAAAGCATCCATGTAAATAAAATAAAGATGAATCTCAAAAAATGCTTAAGTGGTATACAGGAAAGGGTAGAATATTTGCTGTCTCCCAACAAACCTGACTTCCCTAGACCAAAACCCTGATGGTAGGTTTGTTTCAGTGCAAGTCTGTTTCTTTAACCCGACATGATCCTGCTGCACTTCCAGTGTAGTATATTTTGTATTGTTTTCTCACAGGTGACTTTCTGTCTTTGCCTTTTTTTAGAGCCAACAGACAAGGGAGAACCCCCTCCGGCGTTGTCTGCTTCTTCTTCCTCTCGTTCCTCACCCTCTTCTCCTTCACCTACATTGGGCAGACAGAGGCCTGAGATGGGAACGTTTCTCAGGAAGAAGAAAACGAGTGACATTTACTTTGTGTCTCTTGTGTGGGCCATCATTGCTGTCCAGCTCTGGCTGAACCTGTGGATTGTACAGCTGCTGCCGGTGCCTGTTGCAGGTTATTATTTGGTTAAGTATGGTTTTATCTTTCACAGACTTTTTCTCCTTTTTTAGCAGTGGGATTTGAATATTTGATATAATTTTATTCCCATCTTAAAATAGTTGTATGCTTGTATTTAGGTCATATTTATTTTTATTTTATGTGTTTGTATGTATATGAGTACCCACAGAGGCCAAAAAACTATACTAGATCCTATGGAACTTGAGTTTCAGACAGTTATAAGTGTTCCAGGACAGCCAGGGATATATGGAGAGACCTTGTCTCAAAGACAAAAAAACCCAAAATCTGATTTTTTTTTTTTTTTTCGAGACAGGGTTTCTCTGTATAGCCCTGGCTGTCCTGGAACTCACTCTGTAGACCAGGCTGGCCTCAACTCAGAAATCCGCCTGCCTCTGCCTCCCAAGTGCTGGGATTAAAGGTGTGTGCCACCACTGCCTGGCCACGAAGAAATTTTTAAACTGCTATATCATACTATTTTAGTACTTTTCTATTGCTGTGACAAAACACTATGACCGAGGCATCTTAGAGAAGAAGGCATTAATTAGAGGCTCACTGTGCCACGATCATTATGGTGGGGAGCATGGCAGCAGGCAGGCAGTCATGGAGCTGTAGTAATAGCTGAGAACTTAGATGTGGATAGAAAAACATGAAAGGGTGGAGAAGGTATAGACACACAGACATGCACACATGCAGGGAATGGCATGGGCTCTTAAAACCTTAGAGCCTTCTGCCTAGCCTACTTCCTCCAACAAGGCCACACCTCCTTATCTTTCTCAAACAGTTCCACCAATTGAGGATCAAGTAGTCAAATACAGGAGCCTATGGCAACCTTACCTTTCCTTTTCCCTCTTTGTTTCTTTCCCTCCCTTCTTCCCTCCCTCCCTCTTTCTCTCCCTCTCTCTCCCTCTCTCTCCCTCCCTCCGGGCGGCGGCG